ACCGGACTCCCCATATGTTTAAGTATCTGTTTACACACCATTAACAACTTCCTTGAAATTCTAGGAGGAAGGCAGTTGAAGGGAGAATACTGGATGGTTAGTCGATGCACAACCAATTAAAGATTGGCCAAAGGACAGGCTTATCTTGGAATTACCATTTAAGCAAAAGGGAAAGGATTCAAGCTACAGAAACGCACAAACACACAATTGTGTAAATTGGGGCACGTGTGCACGGTTGCCATACCTCCATGGTGAGGAATCCACAGAGTGCCCAGCCGTGCACCCTCGGTGGCAGCTTCATTAATGTTGCTGATGGGCCTGGGTTAATTAGTCCTTCCGGAAGAGACTTTCTTTCCCTCCAGGGACTCTGGGAAAGAAGGTCCTGTAAGAGCAGCTGTTGGCCCCCTTCCGGGGTCTGTAGAAACTGTTTGGCTTCCTGGGTTTAAGGGTTATTCAATCCTGAGAGGTCAGAGATCTTTCTTCTCCCTCACAAATAACACACCATTTAGGTGGTCCAGGTTCCAGCTAATTTTAGAACTGGAAATAGCAAAATATGTAGTGAAATGTATTTAATTCATTTTAAGTTAGATTAGAAAGTAATGCCAATAATTTTTAGACAAAACATCAGCATTTATGCACCCAAATGAGTGAAACCTTTCAAAGTAATCACTTCCTCAAAGCATATTTGGAGTTCCCTTTGTCGTATCACTTGGGGTCAATTTGTAATACACATAAGATATTTGTAGCCAAAATGATTATGTGCAATTTACTCACCAGAGTTGGTTTTAGACTTTCACAAAAATCAAATCCATCCTACCCTTGGAGATAGTCTAAACAAGCAATTTAAAAACTTGAGTGATGAGTTTACTCTGAGAATGAGTACAGAGTGATCTCTGGTGCTTACATGGAAGCGGGCAGCTCTCATTTGGAGAGTTAAGTTCTAACGTATTGATTTAGAAAGTTAGACATGAGAGATCTTTGGAGAATGTAGTTCCTGTAATGGAGATTAAATATGGGATGAAATAAAATAGTGGGTCCCCTACACTTCCTCCAGCAGGCGCTTACCACATTGGTGAGGATTTGGACCCTAAGTGCAGCATGTAGTAACATCTTCCTGGCTCAGTCTACATTCAGAAAACCCACAAAGCTGAACCTGGCTTCAGGTTATCCTCTTGTTTCATAATTTTAACATTTACTTTCCTTTTTAATCTCAAAATAAAATATTTAATTTCTCAATTTTGCTTTTTTTCTTTTTTAAAGTTTACGACTGTGAATCAAATGATTTCTTATTGCAAAAAGCTTGGCTCTGATAACATTTTTTTTTCTGTCCACTTTAATTCAAACTCATATTATATTTTAGCCTCTTCTGTGGGTTTTTTTTTAGAATATCAAATAATGCTCTTTTATGTAGTTATTATCTAGGATGGTGTCCCAGATACTGATATTCTTTCGAAGTTGGGATGTCATCCTCCTTTGCCTTTCTATAATACTTACTCGTATGTAGATACACAGAACCAAGAGATTTTTATTTTAACAATAACACACTTAACAAACGGGGACTAAATGTCTATTTATTTACATCAGATTAATTTGAATGATTGAAATAAAATGCCAAAATTGGTGATATTGAAGGAAGAAGAGAACAGTATTCTTTTTTATTGTGTTTGAATAGCAAACACAATTCCTTAGCGTATTTAAGTTTTGGGTTTTCTTCCCCTCAGTCCCTTGAGTGCCCTGGTTCAGGGAGGAGTTGGGGTAAAGGGGCAGAGGGACCCGAGGTCCATCTTGCCAGGCTGAGTCAGGCTACTGCAGCTGCTGGCCTGGGCACAGGCATGAGCGGCCACCTGTAGCTCCCAGCACAGCTGTTTGGTAGAGGGCCAGCCAAAGCCCCGTTGGTGGGGTGGAGGCAGGTGGCCAGTTGGGCGGCCAGTACATTCTGGCATGGGCTGAAAGAACACCTGGTTCCACTCTGTGGACCCACCACAGAAGGTCAAAGAATGTGCTTGCTGGCAGCAACTGGACGGCCCGAGTTTTCAAGCCCTGATGGCCCCGTTCTGACTAAAACAGAGAAAAACCCACCTTTCTTTCTCAAAATTTACCCCAAAGCCAACATGGGAATCATTCTGTTCCAGTTGTGTTGAAATAGGTCAGTGAGGCCATCTGGCATGTCAAGAAATGGTGTGGGGCGCTGTGAGGCAGGGACAGGCTTGATGACGCAACACAGGCAGTTTCAGGGGAGGTGAGAGGCTTCATGTTATGTTTGGCTGCTAACTGCCATTGCAGGCACTGTCCATCCTTTAATATCTCTGACCTTCCTTTTCCTACTCTTCCCACGAGCCCTAACTACAGGCTTGGAAACCACTTTGGATCCCCACTTGTAGTTTCGTCCCTGGACATAGGAATTTTCATCATGAATACCACCACCCACGGAGAGAGGAGCCCAAAGGTCACCCTTTCCTGACTCCTGAGGCACCCCCCCGTTTCCCTTGGGCCCACTGTGTCCCAGGAAGGAGGACCCCGTGTCCTCTGGCCTGGTGACTCAGCTTCTCTCTAGCAGAACAGCATTCTTTTGAACTTCCTGTCCCAGATGCAGACCAGGTAGCTCCCTCCTGTCCTCTGAAGAAGTGATGATGTTCCCCTCACTGGTTCTGTGGTCCTTGGTAACTTAGCCTCTCTGAGCCTCAGTTTTGGAACCTGGAAATGGGGGTGGATAGTATCGTCCTCCTAGTTTTATCATAAGAAAGCATATGTTTAGTGCCTAGCAAAGAGCTTGGCACAACAGGTACTCAGCAAATATTGGTTTTGTAAATGAATGACCATAGCTGATGCCACTTGCTAGGCACAGAGGTCACTCCTGGCCTGGACTGGCCCAGGACTGGAACTTCCTGCTGCCATGTTTGCTTGAGATTTCAGGGGCCCCATCTCACAATTATTGCTTACAACTGCCCTTTCTGGGAGCATAGATTAGGCCTGTCCAAGAATGACAGTGGCCTGGAGCCAGTAGAAGCCACCCACTGTCAAGCCATTGTCCAGAGGAAGGCACTTTGATTTCTGAGAGGCCTGGAGCTGGTGGGGTAGCTTGACCCTTCTCATGTCAAACCTCTCTGTAAGGTAAAGTATCCAAGCCAAGACGCAAGAAGAGGCTTCTTGATTGAACTTCACAAGCCTTAAGGTCTTGGGCAATGGAAACTGACTGGTCAGCCATGTTCTGTGCCATGAGCTAGACACGAATTCAGGCTCTGGAGTGGAAACATCAAGAGATGTTGGTCCCTTGTGTACTCGTTGTTTCAGTGACGATGGGATGTTGTCATAGAAATTAGCTTTCAACACCGATGTAGCTCAAGGCTTTCAATGGGCTAAAGGGAGCTATTGACCAAAAGACAATGTAGGTAGAACGCTGGTTCCCCCAAAGAATAGAGCCAGCCCTCAAACCACTGTTCCATCTCTGGCCTCAGATATCATCTGAGGATGAAATGAGGGGGCAACGAATGTAAAAATAAACTTCTGAGAAAAAAAAATGGGAGAAAAGACCGTTTTCCTTTTAAGTTCTAGCTGGAGGTTTTGAAGTCTGAGGCATAAAACTATTGTGAACAGCTGTTCTTTTTAAAAACATATGTTAGTTTATTCCACACATTCTGATGATATGAATGAGACAGAATTCCAAACACAGCTTATTTGTCACTTTTCTATTCAGTGAATGATCTTTTCTTCTTTCTGTGACCACCTATTTATAATAGAATCTTCCAGTCTTCCTGGGCTGTGATTTCTCTCCCAGAATTATTGTACATTTCTTTTCCCATCTTTAAAAAGTAATGAATCTTATCCTAGCCAAACAAATTCATACATTCTTTTTCTTACCAAAATCAATACCCAACTTGCTTCCTAACTTACTTGAAAAAATGTCACCTGGTGTTTTGAGGAATAACGTCTTAGGGATGAGCCCAGAGCTCCCTGGAGAGCAGCAGGGTCTCTAGGAGGGTCGATGCCCTAAGCAGGTCATGCCCTTTAGACATTCCAAAGGGAGAACATTTCACTGAAAGCTTGAAAACAACTGGAGATGAAAAGAGAGACTTGAATCTGAGGAATAGACGCTAAGGCAAGCCTTGTTTTTTGGTATCTCCCCCTCCCCTGCTGCTAGTAGAATGACTCTTTGCAGATACAGTGAGAAGTGAAAACAGTGGGTCCCAGGGTCTTCTATTTAACTGAGCATTCATAATCCTTCAGCCACTCATGGCTTCTAAGATTACTTTGGGGAAATATTCCCCAAGGCTATCTAATCATCTCACCTGATTACTTCTAATGCGTAAGATTGATGTGGATGAGGCATGGGAGTGAGTGGATGAAAACACAACCATGCTTGGGCATGACACATCTTCTTATGTAACTGGTAAAGTTGTCATTATGAAAGTACAGTACTCAAATTGCTAAGCATGCATGTTGGCTGCTGAGTTTCAAAACTGCTGAGTTCCCTTTGCATATGATAGTGTCCCCCAGCTCAGTAAGGACTGCCTAAAGGTGGAACAATATCCCCATCACGTTTCTATGCTCCCAATTGACTCTAAGGAGTGAAATCCTTCAAGTACTAATTCTTTTGTTCAGCATCCTTTCCACAACGAAATACCTTGCATCTTCCTCTATGCTAAAGCATTTACATGGAAGGCAAAGAAGGAGGGAGCAAAAGAGCTGTGAGCGTGTATGTGGCAGTGGCTAAGCTGGACTTCTTTTCTAGCCTTAGAATAGCTGGCTGACGGCATCTGGGGATATAGCCTCCCTACCCCCAAATGGTCCAAAGCCCTTGCATTTAGATATCACATATAGATCTCATCTCTGGGGAGAGTAATAAGGATGCAGCAAATTAACTCAATCCTGGCTAGTACCTGGAAAATCTAGATAATGTACATGTGGTAATCCAAGAGATAGATCCCACCTATTGCAAGTTCAACACCAGCTTTTCAGAGAATAGACAACTTCCATCTGAATCGTTTTTACAAGCTGAATTTTTATTTTTACTAAATTATCTATGTTAAAAAAAAATCTGTGCCTGGTGTGGAATTTCACTCCATCAAGTGTTATAATGACTTTTCATTTTCATTACAAGCAGGAGAATGAAGGACAAGTGTTAGGAAACATGGCAATAAATTAGAATATAATTTACAAAAGCCAAAAAAAAAAAGTAACAGTGTACCACATTAATACTGAGTATAAAATAATAAGCAACAACTAATCACAATAATACAAAGGTAATTTCGTTCTGTATTATGAAGGATACCTATGTGACATTCACTCAAATAAAAATATTCCGAATGAAATGGACTGTTTGGGGAGTCATATGTGTCTCAAGAGGTTCAATAAGTTGGGTACATCTACCTTTTGGTTTTTGGCAGGCCTGTATGCCAGTAGCAGGTACTGCTCTCAGCCATGGGTCCAGCTTCCTTGGGGTTCCCTAAGTAGTTGATACGGTTCACTACTTTTGGAGGGCCTGGCACCCTGGCTCGGTCTCCGCTGATGATCTATGGTCACTATTTCGGAAAACAGCGTCAGGCAGCCATGTAGTTGGCTACAAAATAGCAGCGGTATTGTGATATGCTGTGGAATGTGATTTGTTCTTCCCCACTCAGGTTGAAATTCAGGGCCTATCTGAAGATGTTTGGTCCTGCTACACTCTGTGCTTGGTTCCTTGTGCAAAGGTCATCTGATGCTGCCCCCGGGAGCTTGCACACCCCTGAGGGACACTGGCTGCCCTCCTCCTCCAGCACTAGCACCAGCACCAGCACCGGGCTGCATGGTGCCCAGGGGGACGGCCCTCGCAATGTTAGTTTCCAGGTGAGGTAACAAACAGCCGTTAGTAATGTGAGAAATCTTCTTCAAATAAAGACATGAGCTGATATTTATGTTGCAGGAAAGCAGATCCTGATAGCAAACCTATTGCTAAAATGCCACAGAAACCACCCATCTTTTGTTTATTTCACCAGGTCACATTAGCACCAAGTTAACTGCTCTTTGCAAAGCACCAATGGAATTCAGTGCTGGGGTTGCCTTCCCTTTACTGAGTGGCTAAGATGGCACTTGCAGCGGGCTGGGCTTCTGAGGGCAGCAGAGAGAGGGCTCCTGGCAACAACTCTCATGCATCAATAGCTCTCTCTGGAAGGATCAGGGACATGAGTCGTGGGTGGAGAGAAAGCAAGTGATGAGACATAGATGACCATGACTGAGAGCGCCGAAGAACATCCTGTGCTGACTCTCAACAGAAAGCCTGAAGTTTAGGCTGGTTTTTAAAATCTGCGAGTCTCTCTCTTCCTTTCGGAAAAATCCTAACTGTCCACATTAGGTCATGGTATATGTGATGCACCTGACGTGGAGTTTCAGAGCACAGGGATGGATTTAAGCCAAACACTCTTTCACTGCAAGGAGTATCTTTACAAAGTAGCCAGTTGGTTTGAGTTTGAGGTGTTGGCATAGCATGGTGGACTCACGTGTAGGGCACAAAGCACATTCACTGAGAGCCTGCTGCAAGCTACAAGTGTTCAAGTACAGAATATTAACAAGTACCCTCTTTTGTTCTCCTTCTTTTTAAAAAATCTCACTGTCAGATTTTTTGATGAGCATGATGTGAAACTTGTGGATAGGAAAACTATGAGCTAGTCAATTTAATTTAGGTGAATTTGATGCTAGAATTTGACTTGCCCAAGAAACTGGGTTTCACATTTAATTGCCATTCAGAGTATCCATAAAAAGTATAAAATACTTGGTTGAGTGACTATTAAAATTAGGCTTGATGATCTTTAGTCGTCAGGAGTTTTTCTTCTTTGGTTGTTATCCCTTGCCTACTTTAAAACTCACAGAAATAGCACACTTATGTGCAAGCACACTCACCTACCCATACACTCAAAAGCGCCCGCACACACACACATACTTGCTCTCATATAAATAAATGCCCTTCTGCCATATCAAAGAAGGGACATCTGGAACCCATCGTAATTGTCAGCAAAAGGGTCTGTCTAGTTGTCACTGAGCCAGTCTATCATTTGCATGGAATTGTCTCAGTGAGCTCCACGTGCACGCAGCCAGCCAGTGGGGCAGGAGCCCTTCTGTGGTTGGTGTAGATGTAAACACGAGTGAGTTGGGGCGACTCGAATATAAGCTGAGGCATCCTGTGTGGTGGCAGCAAAGGGCCTGGTCCTTCAGTCTCTACTGTACCCCAGGTCTGACTTCTGCCTGAAACCGAAATGGTTTTCTCTTAAAGTTTTAATGGAAATCTCAGCTTTACTCGCACAATGGCAAGTTGGCCGCAGTCTCGCAGCACGGGATTTATAGACTCGCACAGCTGCAGTAACTGATGCACTGCTTCGAACTAAGTCCTTCATTGTTGTTCAGTTTAATATAGTTTATATATGGCTCACAGCAGTGTTCAGAAAAGGGGGGGTCATTCCTAAGGAAATTAAGTAGGAGGAAGAAAAATAATACGAACTTTCATTACTTTTGATTTATAATTGCTCCTTAAATTACAGTTCAAAGCCCGTTTTAGAATTTAAATGGTGGTGCCGTTGTCGTGAGATAAAGTATAGTAAATATTTTTAAGCTATGACTTAAGATTTCTGAATCTTCTTTACTTCCATAGTTGACCAAGTCATAACAGCTACATTTTAAACAGTTTTAAATACAAATGGATTCAGTGTCATTGCTAAGTCTATAATAAAAATTATCTTAATGGTCCAAGGAGGTAAACAGGCTATTGGATTTACTCGAAAGAACACAAACGTTCCACAGTAAGCAAGTCTCCCTGTGTTGTTTGGATCTCTCCAATCTGGCATCCCCTCCTAATAACTGTGTCCAGCACTTTGGATCAATAAATCCTACTTCACAGAAGTTAAAATAATATTGAAATCCTGTCAGCGAAGGCTGACCAGTGGTTACGTTTTCCACAGGGTAATGCATCTGCAAGGACATCGATCCTCTTCTTCTGGGTGGCTCTCTGTGATGGACGCGTTTCCACAATGAAGTGACAAGTCTCTCTCTCCGGCTTTCCATGGGTCAGTGTCCTTGGCAGGTCTTACAACACATCTGTCTGAAGTATGCTCGACTGCAGAACTTGAACTTCAGCACCAGTGGGCAATAAGCCACTTTGTTCACATCTTTGCACTCTAATGAATGGGGGCAGAAAATGGAAGACAATCAGAGGCGCGTAAACAAGCACATACACAAGCCCATGAGCCCGGCTGTTCGGCGAGGACCTCCCCTCGTGCCAGTTCACCTCGGCTCTCACGTCCATGTGGTTTGTGTTTTTGTTTTTAAGCGTACCCTGTCTGGTACAGCCTACCAGAAACATTATTTGATATATTTTAACACAAATTAAAAAAAAAAAAGGTTGCAAGGCTTTTCTCCCACACTTTGTAAGTATGGGGCATGCCCACCGTGTCTTGAAAGAATTACCATTTGTTGGGATAAATGATCACTTTAGACAGCTTGGAAACATGAGTCATTTTTCTTACAGCGCTTTTATTGCTTCTTTCTCAAGGGTTATTTTATTCAGCAGTGCAAGGTTATCCAAAATCAAACATGAGTTGCATTGTTTGATACCAAAGTACGCGTCTCAGGAGAGTGTGTGCATCTGTGAGGCGTAGGGATGGGCCTGGGTGAATGAAAGGATTGCTGACAGCGGCCTAGATTCAGCAACTACATGAGACAAAGGGAAAACTTGGAGGGGTTGGCCTCAAATGGCAGCAGTCTGTGGGTTATGGAAACATGTAGAAATGTCTTTTTTTAATTTGGAAGTGAGACATGGCCTCCTTTTTTCCTATGTGTACTTTCTCCTCAATGCTAGAATTGCCGCAGTTGAAGTCTGCAGTTCTTGCAGCCAGAAGGTGAATACATGATTCTTTCTCCATCTCCCCCTGAGGCTGGTTGCAGAAGATGGGGTGGAGGGGCCAGTGTAGAGAGGGACACAGGCCTCTGATTTTCAGCAATACCCACCACCCCAATATAACCCACTGCTGCTAAGAGTGAGATTCTTCTCCAGTCCTCAGGTCACTTTTATCTGGGGATTTTAAAATACTTTGTAGACCTAGTAATTAAATTTCCATATGCCACCCAGAATCAAAGTTCCACCCTCATTTTTCCAGGTGGTTCTATTGAAGCATCCTGGGTAAATTGTTTCAGGTAATTAGAATCAGGCAGCGTTCTGTGTAACAGAACAGTGCTGTGGATGGTGTTGTTTGCTTGTTTATTTGCTTGGTTTTGGAAATCCACTAAAGTTCTAAGAAGTCCCGTACACGGTACACGAGCCATACGATAAACTTGGAAAATTAAATGCAAAAAAATGGGTAAGTTTACAGTTCTTATTATTGAAAAGTAAGCTAACAATCTTATTGATCTCACTTTCAAGGGTCTTTCACTGAAAGACTTAAAATTTTAAACTGTAACCCTCAACCCTCTGAAAATACAAGTCCTGCCACCATCAAATCCCATACTCGAGATATGATTTACTAAGAGAATAATAGCTGGAAATTTGAATAGAAACTTTCCACACTAGGCATCTCAATAAATGTCACTTTTGGCTGAAAGAAGGTAGGAAAGACATGAAAATGTTCTTTAAACTTTTAGCTAAAATAAAGAAATCAGATGATATTTGGTCCAACAAGTTTGAATTTGAGGTGAAATGATCTCCACGTATTTTAATTTAGAGGTCACCTTTTTTTTTTCTTTTCTTCTCTGTCATGACCAGTAAAGTAACCGAAAAAAGTTGAGACTAAGAATATTTTTGTGGGAAAAAAAAGTTTCAGCAGTTGTAACCAAGAGAGATATAGTGTCACAGTAAAGCAGCTATTAAAATGCTGAGAAAAGCTGGCACAGTTGCACTCATCTTTAATCCCAAATCACCATCGTAATGGGCCGCCCGCCCGAGGAGACTACCGCTCTCAGCCTTCGGCAACAGGGCTTGGTGAGGCTGCTTGAAGCACAAAATACACTTTGGCTCTGGCCTTCTTTGCCAAAATATAAAAATGATTTAGTTGATAAACAGATAGAGGAGGACTGCTTGTTTTAATAGTACAAGGAAATAAAATTAGAAGCCAGACTGCCTGGGTTTAATCCTAGCTTTATCATTTACTAACTTTATGAGTCTGAACAAACCGCTTAACCTCTCTGTGTCTAAGTTTCCTCATCTGTAAATAGGGATGAGAGTTCCCACCCTCATAAGGAGCACGAATATCCTATGTTACCACCTAGAGTATAGAAAGTGTAGGGTATTGAATTATTAGGAGCACTATTAGTTACTATACCTCTTACCCACCTGATGACTGCGAGTTGTGCTCTGAACTTCTCAATGAGGATGCAATATTCAGATTACTGCTGAGAAAATGCTGTCATATAGACACAAGTCAGTTTGCAGACAAAACAAAGAAGAATATGTCCTGGGAATATATACAACTTTACTGGGAGACCCATTACTCCATTTTTGGAAGAGTTGCTGAACGAGGAAAATTCCGAGATGAGCAAAATACACACAAATTCACAGATTTTCCTTTTAGATTTAGACTTTGGAATCTACTTAAATAATAGATAATAAATAATGAATAAAATTAAAATAAATTGTTCCTCTCTCCACCACATTCGGGCCATTACAAATATAAATCCTCGGGGGTTCGGCTCCGTGGGTGGGAGCTGGAAATGAGAAGGGTCAGGTTGGAGGCCAGGCCCCAGGGGGTCCCTCTGTGAACTTCCCAATACCTCCGTTAATTCCCAACTACCTTAATTCTGACTAACTTGATGGAAAGCAGGGAGCTGTTCGGGTCCTGGGAGCAGCGTCAAGCTTAGGAAGGAGGTAGGGGCTGCTTAAGAGCGTGCAGGGACCTGCCTGCGTGCGCAGCGCAGCTCAGTGGGAGAGCAGCAGGGCTGCAGTCAAACAGGCCTGGGGTGAATTCTGGTGCTGCCTCTTCCCTACGTTTGTTTGTCCTCGGCCAAGTTATGTCACCTCTCTAAACCACAGTCTCTTCATCTGTGAAATGAAGACAGTGGTAAGACCTGCTCATAGGATGCTGTGAGGCTCACATGCGATGCCTATCAGGCACATGCCGTGGCACCCAGCATGGAGGAAGCACTCAGTTTACTGGTTCTTGTTATTATTGTCACCAACCCATCTGCCTGTGAGAACTACCATCGTGTATTGTTTCTCTGGGGTCCACATCAAAACGTAGATAGGCTCTTAGGAAGGGTTACACAACGGCACACATAAGCAAATGAACAGAGAGAGGCTAAGTTATGATAGGGTGCGGGTGGGGAGAGGCCTGGAGGAAAATCCGGGGCGGGGGTTGCCAACGCTCAGACATGGGCCTTGATGAGATGCTAACATGGTGACTCCTGGGCTGTACAAGGACACTCAGCCTTGATGGAGTGTCGTGGGCTCTCACAAAGGAGGAGGCCCGAGGAATATGCTGGTCCCACTTCCTGGTTTTGCCTTCTAGGGACTGCCCAACAGGAAGAGTCAGTCATGGAACTGATGAAAATCTATTCACCAAAGAAGGTCAACCGTGGCTGGCCTTTCATTCTCAGTCTTTTAACTCTACAAGAGCTTAATCTAGTAGCAATAACATTAAAATTTACCAAATGCCTCCTATGTACCAGGCACTGCCTTAGGCAGCTTCACATATTTATATATTTAATCCTTTTAAATATATGAAACACCAGCTTTACATAGACGGCAAAACAGAAGCTCAAAAAGGTTACGAAACTCATGCTGGGTCACACAGCTAGTTGGTGTGAGAACTGGGACCAGAACTCAGGTTTGTCTGACTCCAAAACCACTCTATTCTGGCAGCATTCCTAGAATCTAAATGAAAAAGGGCTTCTGCCTGTTGATGCTTCTGTGCTCTTGGCTGATACCACTGATGATGATAAGTCAACCGTTAGGTGCATCATTACCAGGAGATTTGCTCTGCCACCTCAGAGAAGGGGAAAATGTGTTTTGAAAAGAGGGTTTCTAGTTCACGGGCATTCACAACAACCGGAATACTTTTCCTCAGCTATACCTTACTCCTTAAATTTTGTAAAATTACAAGAGTGAAAGGCGATTTTAGACACACCAGGAAGTTTTAAAGCTCCATTATTACCAAAAGCTAAATGTAATCTTAAAAATATTAGTACAAGTTTTAAATGATATTAATACATTTGGCCCATCTGTCACCTTTTTAGCTTAGCTAGAGAGGATGGACTTGTTGAGCATTTGGACTGACTCCTTGATATTTTGCAGATGTAGTTGAGAGGCCTTCATTATAAAACTTATCATTCATTAGTCTGCCTTATCCTCCAAGCCCATTAAAAATATGAGAGTCTTTTCACTCCCACCCTTGAGCCAATACAAGCACAGCATACATTGGTAATGAAGCCATTGTTGAAAAGTTGTGCATCAATTAAACCACATTTCCCCACTGAAATCAAAACAATGACAGAAATGTTCTGTTTTAATTTCTAAATGATCTTCAGTTGGCATTGATTTCTAGCAAATGTCTAAAAATGAGAAGTTTCTCTATACCTAAAATACATAATCTGCAAATAAGCTGATCTATTAAAAGGAATCCTTTAGTTCAAGTAGAATCTTTTTGTAATATAATCTCTCTGTAATTTATCTATTGTGAAGATTTGGTCTTTGCTATCATATTTTCTTCATGCAGATATACTTATGTCTACTGCTTTTTAAGTAGTGGAATCTGAGCCAGGAGGGTCAAGGATTTTTAGATGAAGGAGTCTGATTTTCTCTTCTACTATCATCATGTACCAGCTAAGTACTCTCCTGGGAAAAAAACTGAAAAGACACTCTTTCTACCTTTTTTTTCTTATGAAGCTATTGGAAGGGCAAGAGGTCCTTATTGTGTGGTTTCTAGGAGATGTTTTGTGGACCTAACTAGTCTCTCCTTGTTTTACACCCCTTCTCCCCCCTTGAAAATAAAGTTTTACTTTACCCGAGGTCAGGGACTTCTGGTGGGAATTACAATTTGTGGAGTATCCCTAAATTCTTCTCAGGGAGACTTGGGAATACATTAAGGGCTGAAAGCCAGCCCCTGAGCCCTGTGGTGGGAACTAGACCCCTTCTTAGAATCTTAGGTAACTTGCCAGGTATGCTGGAGTGGGTCTCAGTGGTAATCTGGGCTTTGGTAGAGTTGAATGATAAAATCAGACAACCTGTTTCATAGGCAACACATGACTCTACTTATCATTGATGTTCCAATGGGGTTTTCCCCAGGTGCTTTACATTAATCTTTCAAAATCCAGACCTAGAAGACGTGATTTCAAAATACTCATCCTGAACAGAGGCTTATTAATTTAGAATGCAGTTGGATTCAGAATCATTGTGACTTTGATGGGTTGACTTAGTCCAAGGAGCATAAGAGCAACTCCTGAAATGCAGTGCTCTTGTATTGAATGCATAAACCGTTGCAAAGCCCGCCTTAATTATATCCTTGGAGTGAGCTGGGACACACAGGGACATACTCTTCCATGGCTGGGTTGGACCACTCAGCATCTTTCTTTGGAGAATGCATGCCCTCTGTGCCTGAAGCCTTTTATGAAGTTTGGAGGAAGAACACAGTGAATGGAGTTATGACTGAAGCACCTACGGTTCTATCTTTTGGATTACAAAAGTACAACCAGCTGTGCCTCTGTCAAGCTGCCCACGGACATGCAGCCTGGGGAGAAGGGAGATGGCAAAGGCTGAGCGTTTGCATGTGTGGTACAGGCGGCGATGTGAACTCAGCGTACTTTTCCCAATAAAATTGTGCTGGAGCCCTGGATATTTTACATATGCAGATTGGAAAAGGATAAAACAAGGTCCGCTTTGGAAGTCGACATTATTCATTGCAATGGGAACAGTACACTAACTTTTTATCCTCGAAGCAAGGTGATATCAATGGTGGAACTTTATTCTGATTTCATCTCACCATGAATTAAGCCTCTCCTTTCTCTTTGCTTTCTATGCTTCCTCATACCTGGTCTTATTCCCTAGGTGCCACCTACTTTCAACCTCAAGGTAGTGTGATCCCTACACACCTCCAGAGTTCCCTCCAAACCATACAGCCAGGAATGTGAACCTGGATGCTAAAGGGGGATTATGAGCTCTTTAAAATGGCAAAGAAAAAAAAACCCTGGTCTTCCACCACTCATTGAAATCAAAGAGTTCACCTTCACCATTCCTTTCACTGATTTTAATACACTGGATGCCATTTAAAAACCCAAATTGCGCAGCTGTTTTGTTCCAGGGATTTGATAGATTTCCGGAGCTGCCCAGGCTTTCTCAGAGTCATTTACTTGAGGGACATTGAGAACGACCAAAGCCACCACTAGCCAGGCTGGTAAACTAATGTACACTAATCACGCCTTTCCTGGGTTGGTGACCAGCTCATGGCACAGCATGAATCATTACCTGGCAGCAATAAATACTAGATGACAGAGTGCCTTGTGCTACTGAGAAGCTGAAAAGACTCACCATATAAACTACAAGAGAACCTGAAACTGCATGAAGATGAATAAAATGGCATTTGGGATAGAATTTCAGGTGAGGTTGAGTAGGCTAGTCCCAGCTGCCAGATGTACTTTAAAAAATTACTCTGAGTAGTATTTCAAATGCAGTGATACCCAGCGTGTCTATAATTCACTCTCAGCAGCAATGCAGTGTAACCATCATCAGTGGCAATCTGTCAAGATCAAGCCTATAAGGCTTTAACTCTTAGCGGAAGGCTTTCAGGAATAAAAAACTAAAGCAGATGTGGAACATGGCAGATTTTATCTCCCTTCATCCTCCTATTTCCTTTCCACTATTTACTTTTAATTTTGTGATGCTCCACTTCTGGTTTTCTTTCTCTTATTATCCTTTGTTGCCTTAACCTCTCTCCATTTCTTCAATCTCTCTCCATTATTTATTTTTATTTTTAAAAATCTTATTCAAATTCTATTATTGTATTATGGGTTTGGAGGACAAATGTGCTTAATTTCCCAACGGGTGGGTGCCTAACTTCCTTATCATGATTACTATCACAATTAATGATTAAATTTGAAACTTGGGAGTCATACTGAACACCTCCATGTCTCTCATCCCCATATCTAATTGTGCATCAGGTTTTTATTCTCCTTTTCATTGTCTTCTCTTTTTTCCAGTTCATTACCCTCCTTTTGATTCCTACTATATCTGCCTTCATTCAATACTTCATCATCTCAAGCCTTGACGCTTTGAACAACTTTCTAACTCTTCTCCCTCACAAGGTTGCCCTCCCTCTACCCCTTTCCACTCCTGCCATCTTTAGCATATCACTCCCCAATTTCCTTCACTCGATTCCTAGAAGATAGGGTGCTAACTTCCTTCTATGGCATACAGGATTCTATAAAACCAAGTCCCTGTCTCTCTCTTTAGCCTCATTTCCACTGCTTGCTCATCTGCCAATCCATGGCAGGCATATTGAACCATCTTTACAGTGCCACGACTGCACACATTTCTCTTCTGCCAAGAATGTTCACTATCTCAATGTATTCTTGGCCGACTGTTTGTAATTTCCAGTGCCCTGCTCAAGCCTGCCTTCTCCACAATGCCTCTGATTACCCCCTCTGCTGTGCACTCATGGTAGCTTCTTTTACACCTTGTTACACTACTGCTCATATTGTGATAATTATTTGTTTGCATGTTGCCACCTTTACTAAATTGTGCTCCATTGGAGGACAGGGACATTGTCGTACTCCTTTCATAGTCTCAGTGCCTGGCACATGGTAGGAATGTTTGCTAAGTAAATGAATTAATGGTTGGATAAATGGAGCACATGATTTAAAAACCATCACCTTGAGGGATGGACAAATATGAATGATGTAAAGCAACTTCAGCAAAATGTTAATGCTAGAATCCAGATGGTGTGTGCTCATTGTAAAATTCTTTTAACTGTGCTGTATGTCTAAACTTTTTATTATTTTCATAATAAAATGTTAGGAGAGGAACCATTTCCTAAACTTTGGTAGTTAAAAACAAGTCTCAAAGTTCTATCATTGGGGCCTATTTTACCCATAGAGACCCCACTAAAATACTGTATTTTAAATCCCAAGAGATCTCCTACCCGTCTTGCTTGGGATAGAGCTGAACTATTGGGTTGTCGGAAAAGTCATGACGTATTTTTTTCTATGTTTTTCGTTGCAAAAGTGCATCATGACTTTTCCAACAACCCAATAGTTTCTCAGGAGCCTGTACATTCAGGGAAACCTGATTCTGCTGGGGAAAGTGGGTCCTCTTCTACCTTCTACATTAACCAGAACCTATTTCTTCCAGGACTGCTGGACTCTCTTCCCAACTGTCCCTTAGTAAGAGGCATTTATCTCTCCCCGATCTGATCCCCAGAAGCTGTGTCAGGTCACTCTCACCTGACTTTTACGCAAGAGCCCCTTCTCCTTTGAAATTCATGTTATCTGCCCATTTTTATCTCTATGAATAACAATTTATGATTCAACTCTAGTATTTCATCCACTTTTCCCAGGGTGCACACTGAGTTTTTCCAACTACACATTCGGGCCTGCTCTCAGACCATTTAGTCGGTGAAGCTTGCCTTCATCCAAAGGGTTAAAGCCATTGTTCCTTCATTTGGGTCCTCTTAGCATTTGTGTAAACTGCTCCACATAACACATTCCACCTTCCTTCTTTTTTTCAAAGTATCTTCTCCGTAAGGCTATGAACTCATAAATGTATTTGAGTTTTCCATAGTGAGAGTATTGTGAGTGATAAAGTCCTTTGTCTCTGATCCACGAGTTTTATGACTTTCTGTCAGCACCCACATGCAGAGTAAGTAACCAGTATTAGCTTACAAGTAAACTCTCACAACCTGTACGACTCCTAATAAGTGTTATTAAAGTTGTGATTCTGAATTAATGTAGGGTAAGGCTATACTTATTTGAAAGAATAAATTACAGAATAAGTATATTGTGTTGAGACTCAGATATAAAAACCAGACCATTTGCAAAGAAGCAAAGTTTCTACATCCTGTCATACAAAATGATTAGTCTTCCTAAAATAAAATTCCCATGGAAACTTTAAAAATAAGATTTAAAGAAAATTCTTCAAACTAGACAAATCCAGTCAAAAGGAATAGATCTCTTTGTAAAAGGTTTATGAGCATATCATTTTCATTTGAAAAATAATAAATTATATGCAGGTTAGTTATTTATTTTTGTTTAATTTTGTTTTTTTAAGGAGAGCCCTAGAGCTGGGTTTCTTACATAACTTAAACCCGTGGTTCCAGATGTTCGTGTGCATGCATTTGGTCATGCCTCGATTTTCATGAGAAGGCATTCTGATCTTCTTGCCTATGCCGTATTTGTCTCTATACACCCCATAGTTTCTGTTATAGCACCTCGCACATAGTAGCACTCAGGAAATTTCAAATGAATGCCCAACTGAATAAATAAAGTACATTGCTTTAAAGAAGATATAAGAAAATTCTGGATTTGGGTGGGCATCTGCTGTTACTAAAGGAATTTCCCAACATATAACAAAGAAATTTTAGACCTTTGCCCTCCTGTATAAAGAGCTATATAATTAGCTTTTTCTACTTTTCTACAATGAAACAATTCACATTTGAAATATAAGTAGCTTCAAACATGCTTTCATTATATGTATAGTAGGTATGATTTTTTATCTTCATGATGGTATCCATTGTTATACCAAAAAGAAACAGAAGTTTTCACTATTAAGCGTGGTTCGTTAGAAATCATCTCTATATTTCTGGCACAAGTCAAACATAGAATGCTAGTTTGGACGTGACCTTAGAGATTACCCACTCCAATCTCTCATTGTATAGATAAGCAAACTTAGCTCCAGAAAGGTCAAGTGACTTAATGAGGTCATGTAGTTAGTGGAAGAAATCAGGAAAAAACTTCAGTTTTCTGATTCCATATCCAATATGTAGGTAGCTTTCACAAATGTTCTGTACAAACTATATACTACAATGGTGGTTTTATGGGGCCCTTCAAACCTGGGGAAGCAATTTAGATGAGTCGCTGGAAACCACAGGCTCCCTTTCCCTGGGAAACTCACCTTCAGTATTAGAAGTGGGGGTACTGTCACATTTGCTTTCGCACTGCTGCATCGATTGAGGCCGAGCAGTTTCTGGACAGTCGCTGGATGCCTGCCCCGTGTAAGAGAGACACTGCACGGTCCGCATCTGCTGTCCAAGGCCACACTGGGCAGAGCACTAAACCCAAGGACAGAGAGAAACAGAATACTGACCTTCACAACTTTTAGGAGGCAAAAAAGGTACTACATCATTTCAAATATCACATATATTAGCGTTTAAAGGTCGTGTATAATTCACCTTGAAGAGGTGCATGATTAGGTCATTCTACTATAGACCTGGTTTGGAAACTCAAGGATCAATGCTATTACCCTAGAAAATGGAAACAATAGAGTTTGCAGAAGATAACAGATGGATATTTCTTGGACTGTTGGGTTGTCGGAAAAGTCATGACATATTTTTTCTATGTTTTTCATTGTAAAAATGCATCATGACTTTTCCGACAACCCAATACAATTGTTCCAAGCTGTGCTGGTGAACTCTAACAAAAATACAGTCAGCAAATACCCATAAAGAAGCAGAGTAATCAGAGATCCCAGGGCTGGGACAACACTGTTTATTATAGGCTTGTGGGCAAACAGCCTGATGGTCTATTGGTGTGCTCCGAATCCGATCAGAACACTAGTTCAGTATAACAGCAGGGACTGCTGTGGGAGCTGGCAATAAGGCCAGTTAAAGGGAAAAAAAAAAAAAGAGCTTAAATTTAGTAACTCTAGTGTTCTAAGGTATTGTAATCAGCCACACAAACCTGAGAACTGGTCTGGTGTTAGCCAATTAGCATGTCTCCCTACCTTTTATTTTTCTGTTAATCTACTCAGGGTTGAAGTTTCTCTGAGTGGCTTAGAGGGGACTGATCAGCTGTACAGGCTGAAGAATGAAGCTGGGTCTATTCTTTGGGTCTGCCACCCAGAATACTAGAAAGCCTGTGAGATTTGAGATCAAAGGGTTGACGAGCTCAGGGGTGCCAAGACAGGCCATGGCGAAGTTTACAAGGTAAACAAACCGAGGCCCTGTTGGATTTGTTTGCCAAAACTCTCAAAGCACATACAGGACTTGCAAGGATATTCACAGATACTTTTAAGTTTCTAAACACATAACGGCAAATAAATGTACCATAAAAATGTATTAAAGCATCTTTGCTTTTTCACTGGCTAATTTCAATTTTTAGGAAACTGAATTGAAACTATAGATGTGAATAAAAGGACTTTACATTTAAAAGAATAATCTCAAATTGATAATGATCAATTTGGTGAAATCACTGACATACAGAATTTTTCAACTGGCTTTTATAAAGCAGTGCATTGCAACAAAGAATGTATAAGGAAGGAAAGTCCTACCTGGTTTAAATAACAATTATGCGAGTATGTTTGTTCTGATTCTTTAATAGTATTGTATCAATTATATATTGTGAAACTGTCCTCCTTCTTCAATGAAACACTTAACTCTATATGATACTCCTGTGTATTCAACTTAAGTACTTTGTCAATTAAAATAAATACTGTTATGTAAAGCCAATTATTTGTTATACAACTGCAAATGTTAATTATTTTATAATCTTCTTTTGTCTCCTCCAATGTGACAAAAGAGGTCTAGAAATACCGCTATCTCTAGCAATATTGAATATTGGCCAGAGTTTTGATAACTACTTCTATGAAAGCCATTTTTAATAAGTAATGGCAGGCCTAGGGCACAAACAAAATCAATGTAGTCACATGTCATTATAATTTACTTGATCTCAGATATTAGAAAATGACTAGCTACAAAGTTAATTATAAAACCACAGCAAAAGGGCATTGATGGTCTAGACATTTACTTTCTGAAGCACTATTTTTCAATGTAACATAATAGATTTCTCTTTTGACATTCAGAAGAACAATGCTTAACTTTTCTTCTTTCCAAAAATACAAATTTGCTTTTAAATGATTTAAGGTGGCTTTCAGCAAGATAACATAATTTAAAAGTAAGTGAGAAAGTAGAAAAAAAAAGGAATTGGAACATAAAATGAAAATGGGTGTAATGTAAAAAACCATCTGAAAAGCCCTATATTCTTGCTTCCCAATTCATAGTGTCCATCAGAAAAACCCAATGAAGAATAAATATTAATGAGACTTCAAAGATTGTCAATCACCTTATCAGGCTAATTAACCCCCACATCTTTTCTGAGAGATTAAGAGGAGTGATTTTATAAGTGGGAAAATTAAGACACTGGTGCTAACTGATTCGTTTTTGAATTAGTTGAGAGAGTTGGGAATATAATCCAAAGTTTAGTAGCTTGTATAAATCTCTGGCCATCTAGATTATTTTGCTTTTAGTTTCAAGATAAAATGTTAGGAACCAAGGAACAGGTAGAAGTGGGAGGTGTGTAGGTGTGGGAGAAACATGGCTAAGGTGCCTGTGTGTGGGTGCTGTTGTTTGTGCATTGCTTCACACTCGTGTCTTATACCTAGATTTCTCTGTCTTGTTACTCATCTCTTGAGCCCTTACAATGACCCAATCAGGAACCTCAAGGGTCTCAAGGTGCTGCTGCTTCAGCAAAAGCGCCCAGACCAACCGCCTTACCTGGCCCCAGTCTCCCATCACCCAGCGAGGGGGAGGGCAGCGACCCAAGCTGCAGCGGATGCGGATGGGGGGTTTGCTCTCCTCTGGACATTGTGCAGCTGGGAATGTTTTGGAAAGGTCGCTGCTCTTGCACAGAACAATCCGATGCTTGAATCCTGTACCACATTTGGGCGTGCACTGGAAAGAAAACAAATACTAATGAGGAGCAACAGTCTAAAGACAGAGGGAAATTTGAAGAAAGTCTTTCTTAAAGTAAATATGTGTTTGGGTATACAATACACATACACACTAAATTCTAGGCAAAGTCTCTCAGATATGAAAAGTGCTTTTAGTCAGAAGCACTTTTATCTTTTCCCCTAAGAGCTAAATCTAAACTTTGCTTTGCTTGGCTAACTTATTTTCTTCTTTTATTGTGGGCAGGTTTATTCCTCAATTCCTCCCTGTCCTTGGCCCCATTCAGTTGTGATAAGATTCCTAATTTTTGGATTGTGGAATCCTTGATTTCCTACATGCTAGGTGTAGTCTTCTGAACAGAAGACGGTGGTATGAGTAGACCACAAGAATTTGTCTTTGTGAAGCAAGCTAGTGGTTGATTTACATGTGTATTCTTAGTATGGTAGCTAAGAATACATGTGATGGTTTATTGCACAGAAAATCTCTGGATTGTTCCCTATCCTTCAGTTAAACATATGACTCCGGCTGATTATTCTTTAGTTGGAACAATCTGTTTTTTCATACTAAGGAAAAGTGCTTCTCATGTCACAAAGGCTATTAATTAATTTATTTATTTTTAAAAGATTTTATTGGGGATTGGGGGATGGGAACAGTGCTGGGGAATCGGGGGAAGGGGAACAGACAAGTTGCTGTCGTTTTGTTCTTCAGTCTAGTTGTGGAGGACGTTGCTTCACTGGCCCAAGTTGGCACCATCATTGTGCTCTTCCCGGGCGAGGCTTCTGGACGGCCGCTCACAGCGGCTGCTGGCCGCTCACGCTGGCTGCCGGCCACACACGGTAGCCCATAGCAACCCACTGCTACAGGGGCTGCAGCCTATGCTATCGCCAGCGACCCACGGCAGCCCAGCTCCAGGTTGAGCTGTTGTTCAGCATCTTAGCTGTAGAGGGCATTGTCACTGGCCCTCATATGTGGGATCCGAACCGGGGCCCTCTGGCATGCCAAGCCAGCTCTTAACCAATGCGACATTTGGCCGGCCCACAAAAGCTATTATTTACCTCTTCACTGGGGTTAATTGTAGTGCTCTGTTCTAGAGTCTCCTGTTTAACATGGTGGCTGACTGAAGTCCCCCAGCTTTCTCCCCTGCACATCTGAACCCTTCCTTAAAAGGTGTACTTCCTCTCAGTCAATGGAGAACCTTACCTACAACATTTTGAAGCTCTGTTTCTATACTTATCATTTAAAAAACATTTTCAGATCTCCTACAGGAACGACACTAGACTGGGGAGGGGGAAGGGGACATAAAAATGAATAGGACAGTCTTTACACCTTTAGAAGCTCATAGTTTTATGTGGGAGCTAGACATGTAAACATGAGGGTTAAGTACCATAAAAGAGGATTTAGAATATATAAACTCTTGTGCCCTAATCACCATCTGCCTATTTTATAATTATGTATTTACATGTCTTTTCATCCCTACCAGATTATAAACTCCTTAAAATTATTGCATTTCTGTTTTATGTTTGTACACCCCCCCACACCTGTCCCCAGGATCCAGCACATACCTTTGAGTATGCACTCAATAAATATATATTGTCTTTTATCTGGAAAAATGATGGTTTTGATTTACCATCAGGTAAATCAAGATGTACTAGCTGTGGGATGGGGATGTGTTAAGGAATCCTACACGACGGAGTGGCTTTGCCTGAGGCAATCCTGGAGCCTGGTACATGCCATACAAAGAAAAATATTAACATTTTTTAGGTGAAAATTAAGGATCTCATTACAATAAGTGTAATAACAATACATTTTCTCCAAGTTATAACAAGTTTCATTAAGATGTGTTTTGATTGAGGATAATAGTCAGCTCTTTCCAACATGGTTCCAGAGAGGCTTTCGTTAGGGACTTGGGGTTCAAGAGAGAAATTCCTGATCCTACTATTCCTTTACACAATCAAACCTACATCCTTATTTCCGGCTGCTGCTTCACTTTACCCATAGAGTCAATCACTAGGTTCTATTACTCCAACTTGTAAATCTCTCATATCTGTTGATTTCTCTGTCTCTACCGCCACCAACCTTACTGTAGACAATGTTACTTACATCTACTATTACAGTGGCTTTCTAACAGGTCTCCTGTTTCTTGCTCTTGCTTCACTCCAATCCACTCTCTAAAGCACACATCCCATTACATTTTCTTTTGATTAAAAAATCAAATCCTTCAATGGCTCACTATTGTCTTCAAGATAAAAATTCAGATCTTTAAATATGCTTGCTATTCCCTGATAGGAAGTTTCTGCTTACCTCTTCAGATTCATCTTTCCATACTAAATAATTTGCAGGATTCCCTAGCCAGGTACAAAGCTAATGATGCTGCTACTATGACTACTACAACTATCAATAATAATAGTAATAATAATTATAGCAGCTACCATTTAGTAAACACTGTATATACCAAAGATTATGTTAAATACTATAATTTACACAGTCCTCACAAAAGTCCCATGAGATGACAATTACTATTCTGTTTTTAAAATGAAGAAACCTTAGAGTAAGTGACTGGTAGAAACTCATGCAGCTATTAAATGGCAGACCTAATGCTAACTCTTACTGAGTGTTTCCTGGATGTTAGCCACTATACCATGTGGTTTGCATATATTATTTCATTTTTATCTTCACAACAACCCTATTATTTTATAATCATATCTTGCAATCATGCAATCTGTGGAATGAATAAAGCTCCAATTCAGCTCTCTTGAACTTCCCCCACTTGTATCTAATCCTCTTGACTTCACCACTTTCCAGCATCCACCAAGGTTAGAAGCCAAAGCCTGAGAAGATTCCTGTCACTTTCTTAATGCTTAGTACTATTATTGATAATAACACTACTACCTTACAGTCCATTAGGGCATCACAGTTCACAAAATACTTTCAAATATATTATTCTTATACACGTTTTTGAGAATTGCTCCAGATGAGGAAAGTTTAAGCTATGTAACCAAGGGTAAACAGATAGCAAGTGGTAGAGCTAGAACTAAGTCCTAAGCTTTCTGATCCATATATTAGCTTTTAGCATTGGTAGAAACCAAACACGAGAATACAGAAGAGGTATTAATTAATTATTATAAAGAATAAGTTGAGGTAAAGTACAAAAGGATAGAAGGATGCTTCAGACTTCAGGGATACAGGCAGAAACACATAAGATGTATAATGAATTCAGTTTTAGTATTTTGAGGCTATGATTAGTTTTCTATACTGGGAACAGTTTTGAAAAATACCCTTCCCAGGGCCGGCCGAGTGGCTCAGTTGGTTAAGAGCTCGCTCAAGAGTTTGAGCTCTGAGCAACAGCGGTTTGAGTCCAGCCTGAGCTGAGCAGCCGCTGAGCTGCCAACAGGTAGCAGGATGGCTCAGCTAAAAAAAAAAAACAAAACAAAAAGAAAAATACCCTTCCCACTTCATATTTTAAAAGCATATATGTGTATATGAAATCCGGGGACATATGTCTCTTGCTAATGCTAATATCTTTTTTCCAGGAGCAAAAAGCTTCAGTTATTATTTGAAGACTTGTAGCAGTCTTTCCTAAGAGTCTCTGCAAATGTCCTGCTTACAATCAGGGGAGGCAGACAATGCAAGAACTGACAATGCATTTGTGTTTGAGAATTCTCGAGGAAACCAAAGACAGACAAACAAACAAACAAACAAGAAACCCAAATAAGATTGATAATAACAGAAGAATAAAGAGAAGCAACACAATATTTATTATGTCAGGCAGTGTTCTAAGTCCTTGGCATGTTATAATCTACCTAACCTTCACAGAAACTTCATGAAGTATTATTTTCACATTCATTTTACAGGTGAGACACTGAAGCACTGAGAGGTGCAAATAAATCCAGATGGCAGGTTCCTACGGGAATAAAGTTCTGGCAGATAAATGTACAAAGACTCAAACCCTCTGTGGGACAATGTGCAGTTGTATGCAAAGCTGAACATCCAATGACATTACTGAGGTAAGAAATAATTTTAGAAAACTACAGCCAAAACTTCACTAAATAAGCAAAGGGTCTTCTATCCTATAGCACTAGAAGTAGAGATAATCAACTGGATTCTCAAAATAGTGAATGACTAAAGACTGCATTTGTGCCACATTCTGATTCAATGAATACACCAGCCCTCAAGCCTTGCAGATCAAGCCACAAATATTGCATGTCTACAGCCAGAATCTCAACTCTGGTCTCTTTAAATATTACACTTCTTAAGGGTGATTATAAATTAGTAAAGGCACAGGGATGCCACTTAGACCAGCTTCATTCTAAGTGGAACTCTATCCTGAAATGTCTTCTGACCTTAAGTCAGAGATGTTCAAGCAGACACATTCTGCAGCTTGTTTTTATTTTTACTTTTCGCCCTGCTTTATGTAGCCTACATTTCATCTTTGCCACTCTTTAGCCTTATGGTAAATATGTTTGTCCATCTGAAAGCTTCTTTTTTATTTAGCTATCTAAAAAAAATGAGAAATTCTAGAAAATCAAAATGTTGCCATGATTATGTATATGATAGATGTGCATTAACTTAATTATGAATGCTTCAGAGTATTCTCCAGAGATAATAATCATCAGTCTATACCCATGTGAAGAGTGTATTTTTGTACCCTTTTCGAGTGTGCAGTACAATTCGTTAGTAATAATCAGAAATTAAATACTTAATTCTGTTAATAAAAAATCAGTTTTAAAGTACAGTTATACATATCAAAATCCCTTCCATTCATTCTCATAATAAACCATTAGAGAGCTGGGTGGAAGATATTATTTCAGTGCACAATCCTTCTTTAGTAAAATTATTTCTATTTCTCTTTATTGCAGGTAACTATCTATTTTCCTCTTTTATTCATTACTCAGAATTTCACAATTATTTAAAATCTGACTACATCATTTGTTCTTTTTTGTTTTCATCTTAGTGGGATATAGGAAGTGATTTTTTTATTAGAGATGCATTGATGCTTTTGCTTAATGTTCTATGATTAAGAAGCAAAAACATATTTTTCAGAAGAAAAGTATTTGAAACCACACCAGGGAAAACAATTTGGCTCTCACTTGTAAAGGACAGAAACGTTAAGGTTTGGGGGTTAGACTGAATCCTCTCTGGAAATGGGATTTCATTTCCTTCGTTATAGCACCAGAGTAGAACCTGGGAGTAAACAAGGTGATATCACAATTGTCCACTAAAATAAAGCACAGTTCCTTGTGGGTAGATTGCCCCCCCATCCTTCTTAAGTAATGCTACCTAAATGTAAGTCCTGTAAAGTCCATTGAGTATGATGCCAGTCATCACTTATCCAAGAGGAAGTATAAGAAATGGACCATTTTCAATGGGTACTTTGTGGGAGTCAAAAGAAATTATCCTGATACATCGAAAAATGGCTTAGGATTGCTGGAGCCCATTCACAGTATGCAGCAATGCTTTTAAGAGTTACATGCCAGGAGAGGGCATAAACAGAAAACCATTTAAGTCCAACATAGCATGGGTGATCCCAAGAGTGAGGCTAGATTATAGGAAATGAGAAAGCCGTGGCTGCATTAGTTTCACAAAAAGCTGCTGAACAGCCATTTTCCACCAAGATAATTTAGCTTTTTTTTTGTTTTTTTCTTCTTTTGCCATAAGTATTGGGTGGGATTTGCTGATGGGGAAAAACGAAAAACGGTTCCTGGCTTTGCAACAATGGAAATTTTATATTAGAGCAGCCGGCACAAAAGGGAAAAGGTCAAAGGGTGCATTCCTCTTGCTGCAACATGTTTTCACCAGTTGAACCTCACCCGTGTGATTAGCAGAGCTCAGACAGCTGATAGTTGGAAGTGGGGAGAGGGCAGAAAGAGAAGTGTTCATGGGCGTGTCAAACAGAATAGTGTGTGAAATGTTTGCAAAAGTCAACTGAAAGAGGTTGAACATTGCCTGCTCTTCTGTTTGCCTGGAACTCCTGTTTTCATTAGCGGGAGCTGTTCCATTCCTTTGGGAAGAAGAGACTCCTTGTTCTCACTTTGTTCTCCAGGGCTACCCTGACATTTATTTCACTTAATGTATTTACTTTCACTTATTTTTAACCCATTTAGGGAAGAGGGGGAGCTTCCTGGCAAAGTAAGGAAATGGAAGTGTGAGAATGCATCCCTCCTGTGGAAAATAAACAGGAGAGATTGTATGGGGCAAAATTACCTCTTTCCTCCTGAATAGAGGAGGAGGAGGAGGAGGAGGGTACAGATGGTGTCCAACTGGAATCTTTTGAGAGAGCAATGGCAGCATTTCTTGATCTATGCTTACCCTAGAATTGCTTTTTCTGCATTGTCTGTGCAGGGACAACAGCAGCTACCAATGCTTTACTGGAGGTGGTCGTCCCAATGCGTACGCTCCATGCCCTCAACACAACTTCTCTCCCCTAAGCTTTGACTCAACTATCTTAAAGAAGACAGCAGAATCCTCCACAACTAGACTGAAGAACAAAACAACAGCAACTTGTCTTCCCTTTCCCCCGATTCCCCAATAAAATCTTAAAAAAAAAAGAAGACAGCAGAAATTAATTAAAAGCCCCCTTTGCTTACACATATTTCTTCAGGCAGCCTCCGGGAAAACCTAAGAGCCTCTCAGAGACACTTGAGCAACTCACTTCTAAGATTGGCTAGATAAGGATCAAAATTCTAAAAGTAGGGTAACTACAACCAATATGAAGTTGAATTAGGAAGAAATCCTTAAAATGGTTTTTGGAATGGAAACATACAATATACATAAGCTATCTCTCACAGTGATTATATTTGATTGTTTTATGTTAAAATAAAAATACAATAATACAGAAATATACAGGTCAAAAGACCAATGTGAAATGAGTCTGCGCATGAGGAGGTTTTGGTGTTTTAGTGGTTGGCAGAAATTCTTTCTAGTTTCTGCTCATGAACTTGTCTACTTTTATCCACTTTTTGTAGAAGGATGATGTGGTATCGAGTTTTATATTCAGGGCTTCTTATTATCTATCACTACTTTATTCAACCTTATCTTCCATTTATTCTTTAAGGCCCTTTTCTCCTGCACTATTTTTACCACATAGACTTTGTGTTTCTGGTCAGTTGTTTCTCTTATCAGAAATACCTTCTCCAGCTTCCTTATTTTCTTCCCTGCTTCAAATCCTCAACAACCAGTTTAACTCACATCAACTAAACACCCTTCTGATCCTAATCCAGGACATTCTGACCTTCTCAGCTCTGAATTCCTGTACCACTTACACATGTATACCACACAGTCCACCCTCTTATTAAACATTGTCTCATATTATTCTCTAGTTGTTTAATGAGCATTTTTTATTTTCCCAAGCTTAGAAGATTCTTTTGTATCCTCTGTACTGTCTATCCCAGTGTATTTAATAACGCAATTATACTTACTGACTTGACCTAAAACCCTAAAACCATGGAAGCCAATCATCAGGTCTCCCATTATGATTTTCCAATAACAAACTTGTTATCATTATTAAAGACTATTTATGGACTTCTATAAGGTCTCAGGTTCCGAATTGCAAGTAAAATAATTACCAACATGTGGACAACTCTCTAGAATATCTATTCTTTATCAATGGGTTTTATCTTTCAAATGAGTTCAGGAGTTAATCCTCCCACTGTTAGGGAACAGAAGAGTTCATACTACTTTCCATAATCACGAAGTGAATTATACTAAGGATATCTTTACATTTGATTGAAACACACATAGAAATTAGGTGGGCAGAATGTAATTACTGAGGCTGGACTATGGCCAGGAAAGTTGGGAGAACACTCCCAATTCCTGCCGAAGATTCCATGGACAACAACAACTGGTCAAAACCTCCATCTCCATGTACCATTTTAAACACAGTTCCTCTTTTAGCACCATGCCCCTAGCAAGATAAGGCTGTTCAAGCAGTAAGATTTGTAGGGGGGAACGTTATATCCAAGGGTTCCTAAAGAACTATGTTTACTTTGTTTATTTTTTGACAAATGTATGAGGTCTACAGGCAATACCTAAAGGAAGTACTACGATGTTTCCAAAAAAAATGCATCCTGTTTGGTAACTTGGAAGAATGACCTTTAGTTATATAACCAGGTACTCATTTTTAACCAACACTACAGAAGGATTCAGCTCTTCTTTGGGAAATGTGGAGAATGGTATAGTGTGTATATGTGTTTGTCTCATGCAGGATAAGGAGTCAAGAATTAACTCTATCTCTTACCTCATTTTTCATAAGACCATTTTTCTGAGGCCTCTGGATTATATTAGACTCTTTTATATACATGTGTGCCTAGAAACATTATCTTCCTCACTGATCATATAAATGGAGGTAATGATAAAAATGTGAATTTGACATTTTGGTATGTTACAACTTCAACTCCGTTTCTTCTTCTGATTCAATAAAAGCAATTAAAAATATATATAGATATACAACAAGCGATAATAAATTGACAAAGATTCATATCTAGCGTTATATAGTTAGGCTGAAACATTACTTGGAAAAAAGATATATTATGTCACTAATTCTGAGCCTATGATGCTGCTCAAGAATAGTAAAGAAGGGTAGGGCCGGCCGAGTGGCGCGATGGTTAAGAACTCGCTTGGGATGCCAGAGGGCCCCAGTTCGGGTCCCACATATGAGGGCCAGTGACACTGCCCTCCACAGCTAAGATGCTGAACAACAGCTCAACCTGGAGCTGGGCTGCCATGAGTCGCCGGCGACGGCGTAGGCTGCAGTCCCTGTGGCAGTGCATTGCCATGGGCTACCGTGTGTGGCCAGCAGCCAGCGTGAGCGGCCAGCAGCCGCAGTGAGCGGCCGTCCAGAAGCCGGCGACTGATCTGCCTCGCCAGAGAAGAGCGCAATGATGGTGCCAACTTGGGCCAGTGAAGCAACGTCCTCCACAACTAGATTGAAGAACAAAACGACAGCAACTTGTCTGTTCCCCTTTCCCCAATTCCCCAGCACTGTTCCCATCCCCCCAATTCCCCAATAAAAATCTTTAAAAAAAAAAAAAAGAATAGTAAAGAAGGGTAAAAACCACGGATATGAGTACTCACTATAATGTTCTTACAAATGTACTTTAGGCTCATTTTTAATCAGACTAGTTTCTTGTTGATTTCCCTGACCCAAAAAAACCTTACTTCCTGACAAGCAGCAATCAAATATAACATGGCTAAATTCCCTTTTATGTAGTCCTTACTTGTTGAGTTCTAAGATACCCAGAAGCTCATATTAAATGCTTTGGTATTGACAGTTAAAACATCGCAAAACATACAGCCTCAGTTTTCCTTACTTCTGACCAGTCCAAAGACACCCACTGGGGTGGACACGACTGGTTGTTGCAGGACTCTTTCTCGACAGGCCGGTGTGTTAGACAACCGCTATAGTCCAGTGTCTCCTCCTCAGAAGGCCCGATCTTCCTGATGCAGAGCACTGCCCTTGTACGCATGCCACCGTCACAAGTCTTGCTACACTGCAACCAGTCTCCAATGAACCACCTGCAGCAGGAAGTGGGAGAAACACAGAAAAGCATTTCCTCAGTGCAGCCAGAGATTTTCAGCTGAACGAAGGCACTTTTATCAATAAGCTACATCCTTTTCCTAGAAGAGCGGACATTTCAGTGTTGGTTGATGTGGCAAATGACAAAGGGAAGAAGTGCTAAGGAAAAGATAACTGTCAGTTGCCTTCTAAAGTGGAGGGCATGGGCTTTGGAGCAGGCAGAAACATGTTCAAATAAGTATCGTGCTACATATTTTTAAAACTCTTTGATATTTCTCCTTTTTTATTAATTTCTAAAATGAGGATAACGCTATCAGTCATGAGAGTGTCACAAGGATTAAGTAAGGTAATTATGAAGCTGCCAGTCACGTGCTGGGAGATATTTAAGACTGGATCTTCATGGGAGGGAGGGAGTCCTGACTTGCTGCATTTGCCAGATTTGTGGTGTAAATACCTCACTATGACCCATTTCAAGTTACCACCTTGACATACTAAACATGAACAAGAGAAGATATGCTATGAATAGGGTCTCAGGTGCTAGTACCAGCTGGCTTCAGCTCACTACTGAGAGCTTCTAACAGAGTGCTTGACACACAACCAACAGCAGCTACCTTATTACTATATGGAGGCAGGATCTGCCACAATTAAGGATTTTGTGCTAAAACCACACTACAGCAGCTAGGGCTTTTTTTGATTCCCAGAAATGAACGTCAGGGTTTGCAGATGATAGAAGGTGTTACTGTCCTTACAGGGGCAGAGAAGGCCCAGGTAGCCATCCTGAAGACATGGAGTCTTAAAACCAGCAAGAGCAGAGCCCTGAGCCAACTCTGTGAAAATATGGAAATCCCTTGCTTTGACCCCTTTACTCGTTTTTTTATTTTATTGAGGAACAGCCAATGTCATTGGTTACACATTGCTTTCATGATATAATGGCAGAGTTGACTCTTTTAAGGAGGGCACAGCTCACAGTGGGCGATGTGGGAACCGAACCGGCAACGTTGATGTTATCAGCACCACGCTCTAACCAACTGAGCTAACTGGCCACACCTGACCCCTTACTCTTAAAAACAGCTTCTAGACAGCTAATGTAATGTGGGAAGAAACTACAATGTCTTAACAAAATGAACATGTTTCACATTTATAGGTATACTGCTCCTTTCCCTAAAGTCCTCAATGAACTTTTATATACATAATTTCAGAATTTGTTGTTGTGTGTGCGTGCATGTGTGTGTGTGTGTGTGTGTGTGTGTGTGTGTGTGTGTGTAAAATACTTCTGTACAACTCCCTCTTTTGGGAACATTAATTGATCCAAGGGGTGTGAATCATGATCCAAATCAGACTAGCGAGAATTTGGTTTTAGAATTTTTATATCTCGACTAGAGCAAAAGCTACACTTTCCTTCTGGTCACAAAGGTGGATAAAAATATAAAAAATGCTTGTGGTCACATCTCCTGTCAAGTCGCATTAGCTGATTTGAAAGAATGCAGAGGAGCTGGAGAGGTCTGATAGTGTCTTAGTCCTTGATTGTAGCCATCCCTCCAGTGAGGTCCACTCTGATCATTTCTTCAGCTTTGTTACATAAAACAATAAGCCCTCTAATGTGCAGAAACTAGCTGAAGTCAAAGTTGTGTTATTTCCAACCAGAGTCCTGGCCGATATATTGCTGTACTTAATTTAATAAATACATGCAGAATGGCTACTATGTTTAAGGCATTGTGCTTTGTTTTACAGAAGAAAGTAAAACCCGGTATTAGGAAAATGGTTCTCCAAAATCATGAGAAGAGCAACAATGGAACTAGGACCAGATCCCCCACCAATTGCTAGTTCCCCTAAATTTCACTTTTAACACTGCTACATAGTAGGATCTAGGTCACAGGCATGAAGTCACAAGATATTTTCAACCCATGATCATAAATCACGCAACTATCTTCGGTGGACATGCTCATGCTTTTGGGTGAGAGGCTATCCAGAGAGAGGAGCATGAAAGCTTAGGAACAAACTTCTCAGTATTTCTGTGAGCTTAGCTCACTGTGCCATCTGTGTGTGGGAGATAGTGCCTTTGTGAAGCCAAAGTGCAAGTAGCCTAAATTAGAGCCTGCATTTAGCTAAATAAGCTACAAAGGACTTTGTTCATTATTATTTGTATTATTTTTACTTACAGAGGGAAACCAGCATTTAGAAATACCATAATTAACTAGTTTCAGAAATTAAAATATATCTTATCAAGAATCTAAAATTCTCAATCTAAAATTCATTTAAATAATCATTTTAAATGATTATTTTAAAAATCTGACATGCATATTTCTCTCTAAGTCATTTTCCAGAGGAGATATAAAGTGATTTCCATATTCTTTCTGTTTTGTTTTCCACAGATGAACATGATCTGAGTTGTTAGTACCATTTTTGGTCAAGAAAAAAATGTGCACTGAGAATAATAACTTGCATGCCAGCCATAGTGAAACTCTGATTCAATTCGCAACAGTGATTTCATCACTGAGATTAGGGGATAAAACAGAAATGTGTGTAACTCAGCCACAAAAAGCTCAGTCATACCACCTCCAGCCATGATCTCATTAGGTCTCATAATGCAAGAGGGATGGAGGCCGTCAAATTAAACACAGGTGCCCAGAGTAACAGCGGTGATTCAGGAGGTGTTGCTGTTCTTTGCTGCACGAGGTCAGGGCCACCTCCACCTCTTTATTCTTTGTCTTCTCTTTTACCAACAACCATCTCTTAGCCTAGATGTATCACTATAGCATTTAACTTGGAAGGTATGAAAGTCAAAATATTAACCACCCTCCCAATTTCCCTTCTGATTGTAACTGAATTCAGGCTTCACAGTCAGTTCCTGTTGCATCTTTATTGCTCAGCAAATCATCCTTTCCCATGTCCCTCTAAAGGATTAAATCACACGCTATTTAAATAGTTCTGCAATTTTACCACTGCTTCGACTTGTCTCAGTTTCACCCCTCCTCTGTCCAGTTTAAGTCAGACTGCTTCCTGCACCTTCATTCTCCAGGTAGTTGACCCTTTGATGACATTCTCCCTATTTCTCTGTTTTTCTTCTTCTAGATTCAGTGGCAAAAATATGAACACAAAAATTCCCTCTGGGAATATCACTTGCTGAATTGTTATAGTCTGAACAATACCAGGGTTGTTTCTTTCTGAGCTGAAGCCCTGGTGATCAAATTATCTTCATCCTCACACGTGCCTTCATATCCATTAGATACTAACAATTAGTGGGATTCACGTTTAAGTGTTTGAAAGAGCAGCTCGGTGTAGCCTATGTAATTCGATCTGCAGTATTTCACATTAATAGGACAAATAGTAATACTTTTGGGAGGAGGAATAAGACACTATAAAAATTTTTGTTCCGCCTAAGTTAACCAGAATATTTTTGAAGAACTCATCACAAAACCAGAATATTATTTTTGCTTTTTAACTTAAGGGGAAATGGCAATGCAAATGAAAATATACTGACATTAGATATTTGGGTTTGTGTGTGTGTGTGTGTGTGTGTGTGTGTGTGTGTGTGTGTGTGTGTGNAGAGAGAGAGAGAGAGAGAGAGAGAGTGTGTGAGAGAGAGAAAGGAGAGATACTGATCGAAAGATTGAGATAGATGTTGAAATTTCCCAGCCTTTTTCCCAGAATCAAGGGTGTAATTATCAACCCTTTTTATAAATACCACATAGAAGAAAAAAAACAAAACAAAAACTTCAAAATTTGACAATAACATCTTTACTCAGAGATTCAAGTATCGAACCTATTAACTACTTACTAGGATACTAAAGCTTTCCTAGGTTTTAAATAGTTTTTAGAAAAATTTTCAAAACACAAAGTTCGTTATAAAAAAGAAAAATCTGCTCATTCCTTAGCTAAATGGAAAGTGAAACTAATGTTAAGTAGAAGCCTCTATTCCCTAAATATTCCATAGTCGAGATTTTTCTAAACTTAAAAAAAAAAAAGTGTAATAAACATCTCTGAAAGTGGCAATTGAGAATGTGTTAATGAAACAAAATTTGAAGTATTAAAGTGCCACCAGACATTTGACTTGTAACTTATAAAGTTAGTGATGTCTAGTATAATGGGAAAAACATCACTGGAGATCAGCATGCCCTCATCCGTAAAATGATGCGAGTTGGCTTTCATGATTTCTATGCATCTTTCCGAGGTCTTAAATTATGGAGTTTTATAGAGGACTCTAATGAACCTCTTTCTAAACTTAAAACAATAGATTATAGTTGTGCATGGGTGAGGTGCAATGACTCAAAATAATTGTTAAACATTATATCATAAAAGATATCATTAAATAAAACCTAGCCCCTGGGCAAAAACCTCTCCTCAGTCTGAGTATTTTAGCACTTTTGCTATAACTCCATAATTGTACTTTACATATTTTGCCATTTGGTCATATGGTCATATGGTCTATGGTCTATACTATGGTCATTTTTATACGTATTTGCCCAATTAAATTGTTCTTAAGAAAAGGAACCATTTCTCCCATCCACAGTGCCTTCCACATTGCAGATGCTTAAAAGATGTCTTTTAATTTTTCATCACCCATATAGCACAATGTATAGCACTCCACTGTTTCCACCTTTCTGATTTTCACAAATTTGAAAACCAAAGTATCATACAGGGATAATATTCAGTATCCAAGGAGCCTTCACATGAGGTCATATATAGAAACATTCACTATTGAAAGACAACATGCCCAAAACTGAACTCTCGGCCTTTCTTTTTGGCTTCCAACTCAGCATTACTTCCTTTTCTTATGGCGGGGCTTCCGATCAGTCATGCTTCCTATCTGTCATGCTCTTTAATATCAACTCCTCCCTTTTCTTTTTTCCAATTTTTTCAGCCTGTGGCACAAATCCTACCCTTTTTATTCAGTGTCTCTAGAATTCTTGTTTTATTCCTGTCCTTATTCACTTCACCATCTTGATACCATACTCTTTCTTATAAAAGAGTTGCTGCTCTGAGCACATTAATTTTTCCCAGCAAGGCCTACTCTAGTCCTTCAAAATCTTCCAAATAAATATTATCATTGCTATTATTATTATTTCTCTACCAATGTGTCTTTTGTCTATTCTTTCTAGTCCTCTGTCATTTTCTTTATAAAACACAAGGATAAATCTTACTATTTTTCTATATTCTAGCCTTCTATTTTTCTATATTCTAGCTATAAAGTCTCCCATATGACTAAAAGACATTTGAAATATTTCATTATTTGGACAGATGCTTTCTGGTAAAAAAAAAATACCATTTAGGATTCTAAATTAATGGTATTGGAAAAACAATAATATTTGAAAATAAATATAGATCTTTTCCTCAAGGCAGGCAAATATATTTAAAATAGATTCAAGTTTACATTAAAAAAAGAAACTTTGAAAGTATATATAATCTTAGAGTGGGTCAGGCCTTCCTAGACATTATACTAATGGAACAACTAAAGTTTGATTGTTTTCCTATCTAATATTTTAAGAGTCTTATATGTAAAAATAGAGTACAACACCATAAATAATATAAAAAATATATGACAAACTAGGAAAACATATTTGGAACACAGATAAAAGAGTTAATTTTCTTTACACATTAAGAGTTCATACAAATCAATAACAAAATGATAAATACTTTAATAAAAAATGGGATAGGCCATGAAGAGGAAAAGCCAAAAAGAAGTAATACAAATGGCCACTGGACATAATTTTTAAATGTTGAGCCTCATCAGTAATCCAAGGTATACTAAATAAAAGATAATCAGATGTCAAGGCTTTTTGCCCCCTATAAAATAGTCAAAGATTGTTTTTAAGATGATAATAGCCAGTATTGTTCAGTTCATGGAAATGGCATTCTTATGTTCTGTTAGTGGGAGTATACATTCCTATGCTCTCTCTCCGGAGACCAATTTGACAATGTGTCTCAAAAACTAAAATATATTTCCATTTGAACCAGAAATTCTATTCTTACGCATTTAGTATACGGGCATAATTATACAGAGCCAAGTTTTAGTAGCAAAAGTGATTAATGTTGTGATATTGTAAGAAATCAAAAGCTAGGACACAGCCAAAATTGTTCAACAGCGGAAAGACAATTTAAATAGACAATGGCAAATTTACTAATTGTTGTAGAAGATATTTAATATCTAAAATACGTTGAGAACTGAATAGAAAGCATCATAAGTAGTATAATACCATTTTGTTATATAAACATGCCTATGTAGACATAGAAAAAAGACTAGAAAGGTATACATCAAAATGTTAACAGTGGTATTATAAGTATCCTAGGTGTTTTTTATTTTCTTCTTTTTCCTTATCTGCTTTAAAAAAATTTTATGCTTTAATATGTATCACAAAAAACAAATCTGAAAAAACCAGCATCTGAAAAAAAACCTATCTCCTTTCCTATGTTCCACACTCATTTGAAGTCTTACTGAATTCAGTCATCTTTCTATGATTTTTATCTCTATAATATCAAATTCTACTGGGAATCTTATTATATACACCAACCATTCTGAAGAATTAAGATTTCCTTTTCCATAGACTGAATTCAAAATAATAGAGAAGAAATTTAAGAGGCACTAAGAAAAAAATGGACTAATATAGAGTAATATTTTAAATATATTTCTTTAGCTCTTTCCAAGAAAGAGAACTGTCAGCCTAAATTTTCTTTCTCATAGTCTCTTTATCTTTTTTCAAATTCGATCCTCTCACTTCCGAACTTAAAAAAAAGTTAATAACTTTTTATACCCTACAAAAGGAGATAGGAAACTTAACTTTAATTATGTATGTTAATTCAAATATGTACATTATCCTTAAAGTGTTAAAAACAAAATCAAAACAAACCCCACCAAATTCCCATGTCATACCCAAGCCTACACTATATGGGAGGGAATGACCAACCACTGTAATCTCAAATGTTGTTCAAATGGCATTTAAGCTTAAACAAATAAAAAAGCTGGGGCCAAAATAGGATAGGTGTGACCAGTCCCACTCAGATGCCTTAAATGGCTGATCAAATGCCAAATATAATACTTATAACCCTGAGTGTCAGTGAATTAAGTTCATGGGTTGAGACTCATAATTTGATGAAAATATGTTGAAGTTATTGGAAACCAAAAGTTAGCCCACAGTTTCTGAGCATCACTTTGCTTTATATAGTTTCATAAACATATAAAAATAATTAGCAAAAGAAAGTGAAAGAAAGCAAACATCTTGTTTTTGTAATATATATCATAGGTCATATTTCTATACTTTCCCATGTCTGGATTTTAAGGAATAAGTTACATGGTGATCACATTTCAAAACAAAAAACAAAAAACAGACATAAAATTTAAATTTAAAAAGTTTTAGAATAAAAACTTCTATCACTCTAGACTCCTTGTGCTCTTCATTTGGTAGCCGCTGCCCTAAACTTTTTCAAGAGACTAGTAGTGAATATCTCCCTTTGCGATTCAAATATTCAGACAGACACTGAGTTTGAATAATGAAAGTGTATAAGGCATTATTGTTTTGGGAAAATATTAAGAAATGCATCTTGCTTTAACTACATGAAGGAACTGAATTCATTACCCATGGTAAGTCCCAGGTTTCTGTGACTTCACTGTAGTCATTTTTAGAAAAAAGATTACTTCATTATAGAGTTTTCTCTCCAGTATTAGAGACCTTGGGATATATAAATTCATTTGATTACTCTATTTTTCTTTATCAATTTCACGGTGGGAAAATTACCGTATTTCCCCATGTATAAGATGCAACCTTTTTCAAAAAATGTGGGGTCTAAAAACTGGGTGCATCTTATACAGTGGTTGTAGATTTTTTTTACTTGCAT